TTTTTTTTTTTTTTTTTTTTTTTTTTTTTTTTTTTTTTTTGCTTCGTACGACAGGATTAAACAAAAGGCAGTTAACAACACGTTGGCTACAAATAATCTGCAGGTTTTTACAGTATTTGGTTCGAGTCTTATTTCTGATGATTAGAGGCTTGTTGTGGAAAAAGTGAGAAAAAAAAAGAAAAAAAAAGAAAACGATTAAGGAAAGTGAAAAACGTAATTTAAGAACAGGTATCGCTACTTAATTACACGTGTTTTGACAAGTGTTTTTACATACATCAGTAATGTAATTGTTGAATTCGACACGGGAAAATGTGTTTCAGCTTATTTAACCCAAGCCACATTTGGCCTGTATCTGTTGTTGTTTGCCAGAACACTTGCGGTTCGCCTATAGGTATACAGCAGCAGCGTGCGTGGTCGGGTTATCTACCATGGCCCATAGGAGCCTACGCGTGCGTCTTTTAGACTCCCTTTTACATGCGAAAACGACATCCACCGTGTCTATTTCGTATGTTATTAAGTCCTATAGCAGCGGAATTGACAAGGCCCATACCGCATTCGTCTTTTACTTCAGAGCTTTGAGCCCCAAAAATGACATGACCGAGTCTGTTTCGCCACTTACTGAACTCCATAGATGCGAGATAGACACGACCCATGTCGCGTTCGTCTCTTACTGTGGATCTTTGAGCTTCAAATGGCTATGTTATAAAAATCATGCAATCTTGCATTTAAGGGAGCCAGGAAGTTATGAAATAAGCATGACTATATGTCAATTACGTGTTTTATAAGATGCACAATATAAGACAAATGCAGCGTGGTTCTGGTCAATTTCGCATCCATGGGCCTTAGTGAATGACCATGACATGACCATGTGAATTTCGAGCTTTATAATATAGCCATTTCAAGCTCAAAGAGACGAACGCGACATGGGTTGTGTGATTCTCGCATCTATGCAGTTCAGCATGTGGCGAAACACACTCAGTCATGTCATTTTCGGGTCTCGAAGCTCTGTAGTAAAAGACGGACGTGGCAAAGGCCGTGTCAGTTCCGCTGCTATAGGGCTTGATAACATACGAAATAGACGCGGTGCATGTTTTCTTTGTATGTTAAGGGGCGTCTAAAAGACGCACGCGTAGGCTCCTATGGGCCATGGTAGTAATCTGCTTCAAGTCGCCCTATTCAGTTCGGGGAAACATAGTCAATAGTCTGTATGTTACGTTAAGTATTGCTTACCTACTGTAACATTGTTCACTCCAAAATTTCAGTATGATTATTCCCTTGTAAAATATAACTGGTGTATAATAATATAACTTGCGTGTCGTTATCTCAAGAGCCAAGCACAAAACTAAAATGTTGTGGGCTTCCGAACAAAACTTGTATCGTGTTGTCATCTATCAAGAAATCTTCAACTTTCCATAGCCCTTATGGTTAACGTTAGCTTTTGGGTACTTTTCTAAATTAATAACGCAAACTACTGGCACCTGTGTTTACTGATTACTGACGACGATTACTAACGAGAACCCTACTTTTAAGGCATACGATGCACGATAGACCTTTATGTAAATAAATGAATTTTCCCTGGATTTTTCGACAGTTTCCCCCTTATCACTTATGTATATCCAATCCAAAACCTTGAATAATATTTCAATCGGTTCATCCCGCTTTCGAGTTTTAAACTTCTTATTTCCAACGTCAAAAATGAACTGCAACAGTCTCAATCTCTATTTCTAATGTAAAACAAAACCAAAAAAGACTTAGAACTCAAACACGCGTTTATGGATTGTAATTCTTTCAACGGTTTTGGATATAATATAAATAGTTGATAAATATAATGCATGGAATACATCTCTGGAAAATGTTAAGGTTATTTTGTGCCTTTGAGTCAGTTATTTGACACATAAAATTGTGGCACACTCGTATTCACTTACCTTGGTCGACCAACAACGTCGTAGTATGCGTTTAACCTCCTTAAGTATTCTGTAAGTTCTGCTTTATTCTTAAACGAGCTCGGCCTGGTTGGCGGTTTTGTCAGTTGGTGCGCGAAGCAAGGTGCAAGGACCTGAGTTAGGATTATCAAAGCTATGGCGATACAGCTTAGGGTAAGCTTACTGCTGCTGGGATTGGTGTTGATGGAGCGCATCTTGGTATAAAGTCTGTTCTGAAAGAAATCACGACAAGTTCTGTAAATGTTCTTTAGTCTCGCTTTACTAAGTACAGATCTCGCGGAGGACGTCGCACAGATGCTGCGTTGTGATTAGCTCAGAGCGTATGGCGTCATCGAAAGGGAGCGCCTAGGAAAATGACGCCCGGCATGATTGGGTGCGTTTGATGTGACGTTTCCTAATTAAGCAAAGAAGGCAGTGTGCTGAAAGAATCTCCCAGACTTTCCATGATCCGCTTGCCAGTCACGAAAAGGGAAGGCCAATTAATTGTGTAAGCCATTACTGTGCGGTAATTTGAGTTTCTCAGTCACATGCGCCTACTCGTATAACGCTGCTGAAATGATTATGAAACTGAATACGTCGGTAAACTACTCCGTAAAAGGGATAATGATTTATCTATTTACAGATAGATACCACAATGGCCAGTTGGCACAATACTATTATAAGCATTGCAAACGTTCGTCAAAGTGCAATAACGAGATTACTACGAAAACTCATACGTGTATGGGTCATGTCGTAGTCTAATTTCGAACCTGAATAAGTCCTTAAGCTCTAATCGTCAGACAACCGTGGACATAGATTTTCACATACACCACTATAAATTATAAAATCAATCTTGGACACAGTTCTCCTAAACTTACTATTAAATTACAACAGATAATATCCGGGCAAGTTTCGAGCATTTCAGTCGAAGTCGATATCTGGGAGCATCCTTTGGATGTAAGGCTTCATTTGGAAACGAGCAAACGTAGAAGACAACAAATATCACGGATACCATAGAAGATATAACAATTCATTACTGATCAAGAGTGATTGAATGAGGTAGACTTTTTTAATCTGGATGGATTCACGGCTGCAGTTAAAGTTCTGGTGGTGTTTTCTTTTGAATTCTTGAACGACTTACATATGCTGTCCCTTATGCTGCGCGCACAGTTCATTTAAGCATAAATAGAACATCTAATGACAGTTTGTCCATTATTTGACACTTTTATACCCCACTCCCGTCTACATTTTCACTGACACGTTTCAAGACTTGAATACATTTTCTATTCTGATCCCCCTCTTACATCTGTGAGTAAGGCACCGATTTGCTCCAGGTCTGTTTTTTATCAATTCAGTTCCTTGAAAGCTGACTGTGTTTACTTGTGAAGTCTATCGCGACTTATTTTCGTATTCATTTCATTTTTGACACACCCTAGGTGCGTTGCATGACAAATCTCATATAAAATTTGCTATGTTCTTTGTTTTTTGTTTTGTTAAGATTTGCAAGGTGAACTGTTACTCAGTGCACTCTGTTGTGAGCGTGCATGATACCGAGTGCAAGTCAGTATCATGCAATGTTTTCTTTAACAATAAAACGTTTCATTTAAATAGGTAAAGTATCAGTAAGAAATGCATAAAAAAGCAAGATGCAAACGTGACACCTAACATTTCTTAATAAGATATCACCTAGATTTCACCTAAACTCCCTTACTCATAAAGGACCCATCCTTTTTTTTTCATTTCCAAAGAAAGCCATTTGTATTTCTTGAAATTCACACCCACAGCCCCGCGAGGTCTTCCTTTGTTGAAGGTCAAGCCATTTCAACCACTGACAATCTGGTAGTTCTGATTCTATGATGACGCGCTTTATCTGTTAGCGTAAATGCACTTGTCTATTTCGTTATATAGGTGGTAGATAATTAAACCTGTCTATCATTCATACGCATACAGTGTACAATTTTACCTCTTGTCCCGTGTTATCTTTTAGCTCTGAATATGCTGAAAAGTCTTCACTCGTATCGGTTAAAAGGGAGCTATTGTTTAACGAGCCCGGGGACCCATCTTAGAGATCATTTTTGTCTATACTATTATTGAGTCCTGCATTGCTGGGATGTCTATGGCCAGACTCGTTTCATTATTGGCAAAATTAACACCATCGTCGTTGTCCATGCCGGGAAACAGATAAGAAAAATGTCGTCAAAAGGTATTTTGTTTATTGGCCAACAATTCTGTTTTTCCCTAAGCTTGCTGAATTTAACTGGTAAAAAAAAGACGAATTTTACTCACCACTGTAGTTCTAAGAAGCAGTTGTGCCTCGTTTCTTTGATGGGAACCAAAAAAAAAATGATGCATTATTTAGCAAGAAAGTGGCGTATGCCGATCGAATGGCTTTATGGTCAGAGCAACCGCAAGTGGACATAGATTCGACAATGACCAGCGAAACGCCAGTCTTCATAAACTGCACCTGCTGCCTTTTCGCTTTACTCTTAAGGTTTAGGGGTTGACGCAATCATGGCAAAACACTTGGTCTGGCAATGCAAGATATTGTTCGAATTTTAGCTTTCAGCCCTAGCTTTCAGCTCTTCAGCTGGGCTGTATCTCCCCCTCTCCCCCCTCCCCCCTCCAGGTAGGTAAGAACGCCTACAACCCAGTGTTAGCCAGGGCCAAAGACCGTAATTCAGGCATATTTTTATCTGGTGTAAGCCGCACTGAAAAGCATATTTGCTGTACTCTATATTGTTTCAGCGTAGTATATATAAGACTGTTTCAGCCATGTCACAGGACTTTTGTAAACTTAGACCCACTCTTCCGGTTCCAGAATCGTTTATTTCAGTTTGTTGAATGGCGCAATAGGTACAATGAAACTATGTTAATTTATTTATTGCCTTACAAAATTCCGGTGAAGGTCATATTTAAACCATTCATTCAAATTAATAACATGTAGCCCCTCAAATCTGATGTACTAATGTGAAAAACAGTGTCCGATACAGAGGAAGATAACCACAAATGTTACCTAATTTACACACAAGTAGCACCATCACGTGCATGAAAAGCCACGTGTCTAGTGGAGCGTGTGTGTACCGCGCACTGCAATTATCTCCAGACGGCGCGGCATGCCTTCAATAAGGGTAGCAAGGTTTTGGGTTATTGTCCAAATTTTACTACAAAGCTGTGCATTCTAAGATGTACCGTTTCTCTCCAGGTTATCAACGTAATCCTGCATTCCACCAAGATAAAATGGGTCCACTTGTGATGCCATTTGACCTCTTGATTGCTATAACTAACCAATGGCGTTAAAGAGGGACTGTGGTTTTTAAACTAGTTATACGAATACTATATTTAATTATCCAGTCTCTGGACTATGTAGATGCAGAAGAAGGCATTGCTGTCAGAAATATCCCTTGAAAACGATGAATTTGACACGAGTGATAAACGAAATATGTGCATTTCTATTTCGTTATTTCTAATTAAATTTGGCAGACTGGTGGACTTTCTATTTGTCCTTTAATGCACTGATCCTATAAAAACTGAATTTTACCTGGTATAAAAAAGACGAATATTACTCACCATTGTAGTTCTAAGAAGCAGTTGTGTCTCGTTTCTTTGATGGGAAACAGAAATATGATACTCTATATCATATCAGAGCAACTGCAAGTGGACATAGATTTGACCCTGACCAGCGAAACCCCAGTCTTTTATAAACTGCACCTGCTGCCCTTTCGCTTTACTCTGGTTGAAGCAAGGTTAAATACTTGATCTGGCAATGATAGCTTTTTGTTCGAATGTTGGCTTCAGCCCTAGCTATCAGCTCTTCATGGGGCAACTGGGCTGTATCCCCCCACCTCCCAGGTAGGTAATAACGCCTAAAACCCAGTATTAGCCGGGGCCAAAGGCCATAATTTAGGCATATTTTATCTGGGTTAAGCCGTACTGAAAAGCAGTTCAGTTTGATACATATTGCTGGACTTTTTATTGTTTCAGCGCAGTATATATAAGACTGTTTCAACCATGTCACAGGACTTTTGTTAACTTAGACCCACTCTGTCGGTTCCAGAATTATTTATTTCAGTTTGTTGAAAGGCGCAATAGGTACTATGTAATTATCTATTATATTTATTGCCTTACAAAATACCGGTGAAGATATTCAGATTTAATACCATTTATTCTAATTAATAACATGTATCCCCTCAAATCTGATGTTTCAACGTGAAGAACAGTTTCCATTTAATTGGAAGATAAACACAAATGTTACCCAATTTACGCACATGTAGCACCATCACGTGCTCGAAAAGCCACGTGTCTAGTAGAGCGTGTGTGAACCGCGCACTGCAATAATCTTCTCCAGACGGCGCGGCATGCCTTCAATAATTTTGAGTGTTTTTGGATATTGTCCAAATCTTACTACAAAGCTGGTCGGAGTTGGTCCAGATAACCAAGGGGTTGATTCTGTACTATACTGCACGCTTCGATTCATGCAGCAGGTGGTCAGTAGGGTTAATATCAGGGCTCGGCTCGAAGCTCTTTTTCCATCCTCCGAACATTGTGCAAAAGCACATGGAATCGGAGGTGGGTTGAACTGTTTGACCAAAAGTATTTTACTTAAGTATTTCGTTAAATCCAAACTGCCACCAGCATATAAATTTAGAATATTGAAACAGGATTAAAGAACTACTATACCAGATTTCCCGAAAGCTTATTCTAATCCGGGCTTAATTAGTCGATTCAGTGAGAAATCATTGTAGCAAAATATAGCACTAATATGACACATATGTACAATGTGTATAAATATATATGAACAAAACTAAGACTAATCGTGAAACAGTTAGAGCATCCTTTCTATTTTTAAGGTATATTTTCTGAAATTGATTACTGCAGTGGCATTTCATTATTCCTAGTTGAAATTGGTAATAATTGAGAAGAGTTACCCCGATGCAAAACAATATTTCAGGTTTGTTTTTCAAACAACAGTGTGTATTCTCAATAAAAAATAGGTGTTTCTGGTAGATGCACTGCAATATCCAAATCGTTGATGCAGTCACATTTGTAAAGTTAAATGGCAATCTCAGTTTGGCGGGAAAGTATGAAAGATCTAGATCTGGCGGAATACCGGCTATGAGGTTATCTTTATTTTGATATTTTGTGATATTTTTGATATTTTTCTAAGGAATGAAATTAAACTAGAGGTTTATCATTCATCCAGTGGTGTAAGAAGCCAGCTGTGCCAAGATGGGAG